AAGCATGAAAAGTTTCAACAATTCTTTAATTGCTTTTTATTTACATTAGTTAGCCTAGTAGTTGTTTTTGCTGGGCTACCAAAATTGCTACTGAGAACATTTAAATTTCACTAGTATATAAAATAATTGTAATTTCAATATTGACAAAAAAATTAATAAAAAATTAAATATAATTTTTTCTTTTTGGTATAATAGAGCTGCCAAAATTGACATCGTAATAACTATAGCAATGAACTAATATATATATATATATATATATATATATATACATATAAATATAAAATGTATTTATTTTTTGCTATAATAGAGCTGCCATAATTGACATTGTAATAACTATAGCAATGAACTGGACAAAAAAAATACATTCAAATAGATCAATTTTTGGAGTGTAAATGCAAAAGCCATATGTAACAAAAAAAATAAATAAATAAAATCTGAAAATTATTTGAAGGCTACCAGCCATTTTAAACATCTATTTACTTTAGCATTAACACAACTCATTTAATTGCATACTGTTTTTTTTTTTTTTTATTATTTTTATTTTCAAATAGTTAAAATATTTCCATCAGTTTTTGCTATGGTACCCAGCTTGGCACTGGTAACTGAGAGATTTAGTGTGGTACCCGACTACTGAAAACGTAGTATCGTATCAGCAGTTAAGAGTTTTGATTTGCTCTTTTACTATAGTATTCCCATACTTGAGTTAATTCAGTTTTGATGACTTTATCACTCCAGAATAGCAGTAAAGAATAAGTTGGTGCAAACTAGGGGTGTAACGGTACACAAACATGACGGTTCGGTACGTACCTCGGTTTTGACGTCACGGTTCGGTATGGTTTCGGTACAGTAGGAGTTAAAAATACCTAATTTTTGTTTTTTTTATTAAACTGTTTTACTGAACAAATTGCGCTTTCTTTAAATAAGTTCAATTAGAATACATTTTCTTTAAATCTACCTCATAAAATAATTTTAAAAAAATCTTTAATTTACATTAGCTACTATAAGGTTACAATTAACAACAGAGCCCAAACTTAAATTTGATTACTATTTATTTTTAACTATAATAATCAACACTCATTTTTTTAAATTGTACGCAAACACGTAAATTGCACTCAATACAATTTTTAAATGTACTTTAATTTACACAGTGACTCTGACATACGTTTCATAAAAGATATATATATATATTTTTATATAGCCTACATTAAATAATCGAGACATCACTAACAGGTAAAGTAAAATATAATGAGTATATAATCTAATATTTCGCTAAATGCTCTTCTCTAGACTTCATTTCTCTGGTGAGCTGACGAGCTGTGGACACTGATGACTTGCCTGAGGTAATTGAAATGCTACGTGACATTTTGTTCACAAGCCGTTTTAATCACATCTTTTGAAACACTGATTGTGCGACTACATGAGGCATGAGATGTTCATTCATGTTTATTTCACATCTTCGGTACGAATACGTGTACCGTTACACCCCTAGTGCAAACTAGCAGAGCAGACATGTACCTCCAGTTCAGTCTCTTCCTCTGGAAGTCCCAGAAGACCCTTCAGCTCCTCGTCGTCCCCGGTTTTACTGTCCCCGACGCCGGAGCCCGGCTGACTCTGAGGTTTCTCCCGAATGGTGTAAACGCGTGTGGATGCGCCAAACGACATGGTGGAGTCGATGGGAACCTGCTGGGGCTTGTGGGGCTCCAGGCGAATGTGTCCCAGGAACGTACCATGTGCTACAAGACGACAACATACCTGTTGGTTTACCTGTCGTCTCTTATCTGTATGATGTGCATGATTGTCATTGGTCTGATGCACTTACTGCTGTTGAGGTCGATGAGAAACACTCTTTTCAAATGCCTGTGGTAGACGAGGGCCGCATGCACGCGAGAGCAAGACTGATGGTCGATGGTGAAGTCACAGATGTCTGGGTTCCTCCCGAACAAATAATACTTCTTTTCATCAATGATCAGTTTCTGCAGAGAGAGCACTTCAGTAGGCTGTCTGCAGTCAACAAAACTAATTTAACAACACACACACACACACACACACTCACATACAAGCGGGGCGTTGAGCGCGTACAGAAAATGGGATAGTAGAAATAAGTTGATGATTTAATAATCTTATCTTTTAGGGTTGCATCCAAGGAAAGGAAAAATAACTTGATCCAATTCTATTTGGCATGAGCCTGAGCCTACTGATGAAAACACTTGTATTTTGCATTCCCCCCCCACCTAGAGTTCTAACACCTGAGGGAGCGACTCCCCTCTCAGAGCTTCAATCTCAGGGTCTTGTGTTTCTGTAGCACCGTTTGGACCTGACAGCCACCATCATGCATGCATCAGTGTGAGAAAACTCAACTGAGCCGCAGGCAGACAGGTCAGTATCTGGTGCATCCCAGTCACTGTTTGGACAAGCGGTCAATCACAGGAATGACTGACCCACTAAATAAATATATAAACCCATATTTGTCTTTTGTGCTTTTTAATCTTGGAGTTGTGGTTCTTGACTTTGCATAGAAAAGAGCTGCTTTAAGATTCCTTAAAAACTCAGAGCATAGAGGTTTGGAACAACACGAGAGGGAAAAATGATTAGCAGATGTTCTTAAAACTCAATGTAATACCTCAACAAGTTTGTCTCCTTTCACCACGTCCAAATGCAGTCCTGCTGGAGGCTTCCCTGCCCTGAGACAAAACCAAGACGTGCATGAACTCATGAAATCATCTAGCAACGTGCATTTACTAAAAACATGGTCAGAAATAAAGCACATAGCATCTGAGGTGTTCTCTGTAAACATCTACTCCGATTAAATTAACACAATATACACTTATACACAAAAGAATGCAGTTTGTAAAACAAGTTCGGGGTCCAAAGTGTGGCGGTAGAGCTGCTAACAAGCACGAGAGCTAACAGCTCGCTGTAAGACTGATTGTTGTTTTTATGCTGGATACAATAAAGCCTTATTCACGCACTAAATCCAGCAAGCGCTGGAGTGTTTTTTTTTTTTACCATGATGGACAGTCGAAAGGTGGGTTATTTTCTGTAGTATTTGTTGCCATTGTCACACATTCCCCCCTGCTACAAGCACGCCGAGCATCTTGGGTAATCTACTCAAAACTGAACGTCTTCCGGTTCATAAATATTACATTCCTTTAAAACTCGCGTTTGATTGGCTTAAAAGCAGACGTGAGTAAGTGGGCGTCACTCAACTGGCGAATTAGCGAATCACTCGGCGTTGAATGACGGACGCGAGGGAACGCCTCTTTAGGAAGACTAACCAATAGCAGTGTTGCGTAATTAATATTAATGAGCTTAGCCTTCGCCATATAAGGACTTGTAACTTCGCCTTCCGGGAGACGGTTGTGTATAGGAAGGATGACAACACAAATGAAACAGCATAAATATTAATTACTAACGCAGTTATTGTATGTTGAAACAAAAAGTACATGTATAATAACTGACACCGAATTGAAATATATCTGTTTAAATAAATCAATAAACATGCAAATAAAAGGTTTGTGTGGTTCTGGGTGAGTTCCTCTGAGACTTCCTCTCTGGACTAACTTATAGTTTTAGTGTGCGCACACAGAAGAGCAGCTCAGTGTGTGGCTGTCTGTCATCTGTGAGAGATGGGAGACCTCCAGTCTCTGCGAGTCTTCATCAACTGTCTGGATCAACAGTCTCTACCCCGCATCCTGCAGATCTGCTCTGGGGTTTATTTCCAGGGTAGGTTTATATGATTTTACTCTCTCTCTTTCTGCATATTCTGTATGAGACTTTCTCAAGGCATAAAAACACAAAACAAGAAGCAAGAGAATACTGTTCCTCAACCAAAGTTTAAAAAAAAAAATTGTGTTCCACTATGTCCATGCATTTATTTTGCAATGCGATTGTTAATAATTCTCCTAGTTTTGTGTATCTTTTGTAAAATGAGGAACACAACTTTGATTTTAGTCCCAGAGATGTACAATGATGTAAAAATAATGAAATTTTGAAGTTGAACTCTTATTAGTTCTTTAATGGAGCCATTGAATAGGCATGCACTTTTTTAGAAATGTGACTTGTCCAGTATATGATGCTGTTTCTGTTTAGTTTAGATTTGACCCATTTTTACATTTGAAAACAAAAATAAACAATGGGCATATGAAACCTGAATGCACATTGTCATATTTTATGCCTGGGGTCTCTGAAACCCCAAACCGAAGTAAAGTACCATTTTCCAAGCATGCCACCAAGTTAAAATGACTTATTTCAGCGTAACGCCTTTGTGTTATTGAAACGGCTGTGGGGTCTCTCCGACCCCAAACATTTTTTTTTTCATTGTCAGTGTGGTTTACGCTGTGCATCTTCAGTACAATGCGAGACCGAATGAGCAGTCGAGTTTAGTCTCATCTGTGTTGTATAGCCTACACTTTCCCCATGCTGAACACAACAAACCTGCGACCATTGAGAACCACTGCTTTAAATAAAGAGGATGATTGAAGTACAATATTGAAGTAAAATAAAACAAAGGCTGCTAACTATAATAAGAACTATGCCTCATCACAGAGGAAGATCATATCATATTCGGACTCATTTTCAAATAGTTTTTCTTAAAAGAATATCTCAGGACATCTTTTAGTGGGGTTTCGGAGCATTCATATCTACTGTAGAGGATGGCTGGACATGCTTATCAGGCATTTTAGGTAGACATAAGTGATTAGGGAAATAAATTATATAATATTTCTATGAAATATGAGATTTTATATGAAAATGTTGCTAGGGTATTACTCTTATTTTTTTCATTACATGTTGCCTAAAGAACACAATATGCAAATTAGAGACTTTAACCAGATACAATGTTTATACACTCTAAAAAATGCTGGGTTAAAAAGGGACCCAGCTGTTGGGTTGTTCTGTTGGGTTGTTCTGACCCAGCGGTTGGGTTGTTTTGACCCAGCATTTTTTAGAGTGTAATAGCAAAACCCATGTTTACCCTCATATTGTGTAAAGTAAAATAGTATATCAAATCATTCTCTAATATCTTTCATACCATGCTTGAGAATCTTCGTACAAATCTTTGTGTAAAGTTTGGTTCAGGTGCAAGTGTCCTGGAGCTGTCGAAGTCCTGAAAATCTGATTTCTATTAAACGCCTATTAAATGCAGGCACTAGTATGCATACAAAATGCAAAATACAAATGTTCTCTATCTTTTTCCAAATTTTTTCTTATGTTTGTTTTTCAGAGGACAAATCATAGAAAAATAAATTGGCTGGAAACTAAATTTACTGGTACTGAATATACAATTTTTTTCTTATCCTCCAAACAATGTAAAGATTGTGGTTCCTGACTTTGCATAGAAAAGAGCTGCTTTAAGATTCCTTAAAAACTCTGTGGAAAACATTAACAGCATAGAGGTTTGGAACAACACGATGTAAAAAAAAAAAGGAAATTTACAACTTTTCTTTTATTGTTCTCAGGAGGCTATGGCATGTTTGACTTTGCGATCAAAGTCCATCTTAACATTCTACAGGAAATTCCTATAAAACGAACCCAGGAAGTTATGCAAATAGGGCATGATGATGTGTTATTGTTTTCAGGTTCCATTTATGAGCTTTCAGGGAGTGAAGTGTGTTTATCTACTGGAGATTTGGTGAAGGTCATTGGTTTAGAGCTTCTGTCTGTGTCTTGTGAGGAGATTGACACTGGAGCTTCATTTGAATTGCCTACTGGATATTCAGGTGAGCCGCTAAACAACAGCAAGGTGTTTCCAAGTAAATTAATATAAACTAGAGTTGAGTATTTGGACCTAGTGAAACCTCTTCTTGTGTTATTCAACATATGTTTACATTACTGAGTAAATAACAGCCCATATGATTACAAGTAAACTGGGACAGGATTCACATAGATTTAGCTGTATTTTCCATTTAAAGGTTTTTCAATTTAAACCATAAATATGAACTAAAATGTGCTTTTAACATACTATCTCTATTTACAAAATGGATTTAGTTACCACTCGTAGTACACTCAACATTTTAGTTCATATTCACATTGTCCCAAAATAGCAGTTGAGTACACTCAGATGATCTTAAGTTTATCTTAAGAAGAACTAAATCAATTTTTTTAGTATATTAAGTAAAAATTAGTGTGTGAAAATAGAGCATTTTAAATCCATTATGGAAGTGCATTTTTTTTCACCCGGAACAGCTTAATCCAAAGCAGTTGTCTATCCATAAATAAGACATGATGCTATAGAACTTAAGCCTTCAAGGAGGATGTTGTTCAAGGAAATTAATTTGTAAACTAAAAGCTAACTGGGCAAGTTTATTGATTTTAACACACTGTGCATCTCTCTAGGTCACTTCAGTCTCGTCGCTGAGGACCTACCGTACAATACAATAGAGGAAATTGTGGGTTTGTGTCCTGTTGGAGTGGACGCCTGCGGCTCCTTCACCTTCATATGCCAAAACGAGCTGACTATAGACACCTTCACGCTACCCGCAGGAAAACAGCTGACCCTGCTGTCAATGGAGGTCGCCAGAAATGGAGAAAGACTGGCACGGTGTCAGGTGGTGGGGCAGAACATGGCCTCTGCAGAGATACTCCTTCCTCTGGCCCTCAGAGGAGAGTTTTACGAGTGTCAAAGTGACCGTGGCTACTCTCTACAGGAAATCATGTCATCATCCAGACTGAGCTGTCGTCACTTCCGCAATACAGCTGAGAAGAACAGTGGAAGCTTGTTGATTTTTAGCCCAGTGTATGAAATTAGTGCCATCATGCATAGTAAGTACAACAGTGTTACTCGGTAAATATTTGTCAAGTCCTTGTCCCACTGACAGGTTGCTGGTGCCAAAGCCAGATCCATAATTGTCCAGCACTGATGTATTTTTTAGCACAGGAAGTTAGCATCACCCTGGTTCCCTCGACAAAAACCCAAAAGGATTTTTCCATTGGCTTTTGGATTATTGCAGAAATTAAGCTGTGCCCAAACTCTGACGTCCCATTTAGCCACTTGTTAGCAACTGCCATTTTAAAGACAAGTAAAATGTTTAGAATGAAACGTGAAAATATCTTGCACTTGTGCGAACCACAGACCTTATTTCAGGCGTTTACCCAAAAACCCATTCAGAACCCCACTGACTTCAGAACAATGGAACCAGAAGAGCTGCACTTCTAGAAGCATGACAAATAAAAGGAGTCCGAATCTGCCAAAATGTGAACTCGTTTCCAGGTTTTGGCCTACAAAAATACATCATCATTATTTTTCACTTTATAAAAAAAGAGCCAATTGCAAACTGGTAACGAAGCTCCACTTCTCACATTGTCCTAAAAAGCATTGGGTGTCCATTGGCTGGACCAACTTGCTCTTTGATAAGAAAATATTGCATGTCTTTTTTTCTTTCTTGCTGATTTGAAATGATGCAAGCAGTTTGTTAGATTCTGGTATTTCCCCATTTAAGTAGATAGGAGTTGGTTTTGCATGCCTGGAGAAACTACCTGAAGGCCTTGCAAATATGGCCACAGAGTTAACTGACTTTCCTTGAAAGTGACTTTATAATATAATCAATAAAGCAGTCTGAAGTGGAAATTATTTGATATGAATTGTACTATAACTTCTGATCATTGCATCAAAAGCAGCTTGTGATTTAATCAAATTACTTTTGGTGCCAATATATGCTTTCAAACTTGCAACACACGATCGGTTTCTGTACATCATTTTTTGGCAAGTCAGTGAAAGCAAGCTCAAAGAGTGGTTTGCAGACCCCCCAGTCAAGCACTATGTTGGTGGGATAGGGCTATCAGTCATCACTCAATGTTACTCCTGGAGATCCACCTACCAGCAGAGTTTAGCTGTAACTCTAACACACTTGGACCAGCTAATCAAGGTCTTTGGGTTTACGTGAAAACTGCAGGCCAATATGTTGGAGCAGAATTGGAGTCCTCCAGGAGTGGCACTGAGTACACCTGTCACAGAGCAGGGGTGTCCAATCCTACTCCTAGATGTCCACTTTCCTTTGAAGTTTAGTTCCAACTGATCTAACATTCTTAAACCAGCTAATCAATGCCTTTTGGTTTACCTAAAAACTTCAGGCCAATGTGTTGGAGCAGAATTGCTGTCTTCCATGATTGGGACTGAGTACACCGGTCATAGAACAGGGGTGTCCAGTCGTGT